AAAAAAAAAAAAAAAAAAAAAAAAAAAAAAAAAAAAAAATTACAACTATTCTACCCCTATAAACAAGGTTCAAGCTAGATAACCAGTAGCATATAGTATATTAAAGTATTCTTCCTCAGATTAAGATGTCATCCTTCAAGTCAACAGAAGAGATAAATAATCCTCTTCCTATAAGCAGATATAATATAGAAGAAACAAATGGAACTCTTCCCTCTGAGCCACTGATGTCAAAGGGGGCAGATATTTCCCAGTCAGTAACAGAAATATCAGGTGATAGAACTCTGATTCCCCAATACTCCAATCTCAGGGGATATGGGGTGGAGGAATTCGCCTCAACAACTGTCACTCATGGTTGGCACAGAAAGCACCAGCATTTCTGCTGTAGTTTTCCCAAAAGCCTTGCTGAATCGCATCCCTTGCAATGCTTAAGAAATGTGAGCCAAAGAAGCAAAGGAAGGGGAAGCAGAAATAATGAAGCCTACAGCCTACCCCGAAGCCACCCTCTTCATTAGGGCACTGCTCCCCCTTCTCTCCTCAGATGCTAGTTCACAAGTGAGCTACAAAATGACACAGGCCATGGGCCGGCCCGGTGGCGCACTGCTACAGTGCACCGCTTGGGAGTGTGGCGGCACTCCCGCCGAGGGTTCGGATCCCACATACAGACCGGCTGCTCACTGGCTGAGCGAGGTGCGGACGCAACACCGAGGGTTGCGATCCCGTTGCCGGTCATGAAAAAGACAAAAAGGAAAAAAAAAAAAAAAAGACACAGGCCATTCAGCTAAGTGCACACTGGTCAGTGGACTAAAGGAAGTGGGTTGAATACTCAACGGTGTACGTTCTCCTGATCTCCCTTCAGTCCTTGGACGATTCCGGTATAGGCTTCCAAGCAGCCTTCCCTTAGCTCATTCAGATAATCCACCATGTCATAGTCTGACTGTAAGAGACAAAGAGTAGAATCTCCATCATATTGATCACCTTTAGTTGTATGTTTGTCACCAACCCCTCTCCTCTGATCAGAGCAAGTCAGCTTTAAGCTTACCTTATCCACTTGGGCTTGGGAGGCCTGCTGAAGAGTATTCAATACAACTTCTAGGTATTTTTTAAACTCTCCACCAATAGCAAGAGCAATATCACCAAACACTGACAGAATCTGTGGCTTCACAGACCTGTGGACATTCTCGTTCTGACAAGGAAAAAAAAAAAAGCAAATTAATAAAAAGTCAAAATTTGTTTGGACCAAAGACTCAAGAAACTTTCATTTGTGATAAGCAACTACTAATTTTAAATATCTGGATGGCTCTTTATAGCTTCTAAAACCTTTCCCATTTGTGCTACATCAATTCTAACTAAGCTAGCACAGGTACTGTTGTTCCCACTTTACATACAAGGAGACTGAAGCTTCAGAGTCAACTGACTTGTTAGAATCATCTGTGAAAATAAACAATTTCCTTCTTCATAAGCCCACATCCAACATTCTGGGAACTTACAGATCCCTGTCACATATCTTGATGTTTAACTCTGTCTTTACAACTGGTTAACTGGATTGTGTGTAGACACTCACCCCCAAGTTCTCGAGTAGCAGCTGCATCACCTCATCACAGAAAGGTATGATGTTGGATTGCAGGGCACGGCATAAATCTCCCACTAAGCCCACAGCTGCCAAACAAACCTGCAAAGAATCAAGAAAATAATCTCCCTAACAGAAAAGACTGTCTGCAGGGATAAGGCATTATTTTAACTTAGCTGCTGGTCCTTTACCACTTGAACCTAGAGTTCAAGAAGAAAACATTCTCCTCCCTCTGCTGAGATTAATTTTAAAAACTAATATGGCAGGAAGAGAACTAGGACTATCCGAAGTATCACTAGGAAAGGACAGAAAAGATGTAATTCACCAGGGATGGTTGTGGCAGAAGCCTTGCTCTTTAGGGTGCTGACAGCATAACTCATAACTTTATAGCTGCCCTTGCATCAGTACAGTCTAGGCAAACAGTCATCTTGTGCTCCCTTATCTGGTACACCCAATATCCTGTGTTTCACTAACTACTTCCAGTTCAGATGCTCAGGCAATAAATAAAGTAGCTCAACTTTTAGGACAATGCACAGGAAAAAAATACCTAGGTTATGGGAACCTGATTTTGTCTATACTAATGTGACTATCAGGTACAAATGAGAAATATATCATTTTGAAAAGCATATCCTACCTGGTACTCAGCATAATTTTTCAATCCAATACCCAGGAAGGGTTTAAAGGCCTCCATGTACTTGAGGAATTCACCACCCAAAACTGTAATGAAATAAATTATCAGCTAATGGAACCACTGTATATCACAGAGGTGAGCAAAAATAACCATCCTAGCTCTCCCAAAATGTATTCATTCCACTCAGTAGGTTGGGTGGAGTGTGCAGTAAACTACTGAATTCACCATGAAGACATTGATGTGGCTGTTGTACATAAGCCAAATTTATAACTGCTGCAAGGGCCTCCATTCTTATGACTTAAGAGACAATGCCAACCCTCCACAGAATGGGATTTTACTCTGGCTGAAACAACAAAGTGGTATGGCCCTCAAAGAATGTTAAGGTTGTGAATTAGCTGAGCCAGCAATACTGCCTCTTGTTCACCCCTTCATCTGATTGTAACATGTGCTCTCTGGAGGCCAGCTTCGAAACAGGGTCCTTAGGCAATCCCATCAACAGCTTAACAAGCCACAGCCAAGAAAAGCAGCACTGGGCTTCAGATCCAATCTAGCCACTCCAGGAGCCAAAATTAACTTCCCTGCCCTTTCAGGGTGGTCACATGTTGCCTGATCAGTTGGATATAGGCTCTTTATGCCAGAAATAGGTCTGGTCTGCAGGAGAGTGGTCCTCAGGTAACAAGTCTCAGGTCACCCCTGAAGAAACATTTCAGGTTTCTAAAGTGCTCTTTAATGTGCTCTTAATGGTCCTTCAAAGAGTCTTAAGTCAGATATGATTTCCCCAAAGCAATCCTGCATAGTCAGATATGTAACAATCAGAAAACCAATTAATTCTAGAACTCACTCAGTGTTTCATTCCATCCCATACCAGGCACCACAATGTGTCAACCTGAGTCCAAAGCATTACAACCTGAACCAGCAGGTACCAATTGCCAGGAAAGGAAACAAACTTTTGCTTCCTCCATCCTTTTTTTTTTTTTTTTTTTTTGTTTTTTTTCGTGTCCGGCAACGGATCGCAACCCTCAGTGTCGCGCCCGTACCGGACCGGGACCGGCAACGGGATCGCAACCCTCGGTGTTGCGCCCGCACCTCGCTCAGCCAGTGAGCAGCCGGTCTGTATGTGGGATCCGAACCCTCGGCAGGAGCGCCATTGCACTCCCAAGCGGCACACTGTAGCAGTGCGCCACCGCGGCCCATTCCTCCATCCTTGACAGAAGCCAAACCTCAATAAAGCAAGTTGAGTTTCAGGAGAAGGAACGTAATGAACACAAGATCCCCAGTAAAAGGACTATGCTTTCTGCAGTCAAATATTCTTCAAAGCCACTGAAACTCCTGCATTCTAAAGACATTCCCAGCCTGATTACCACTCACTGACCTTCCACCAGTGTGCTAACTGCCATCAGGGCATCCTCCTGCACGCCCCCAGACCCAGCTGTGCTTTGGAACATCCTTAACAGGGAAGCCATGACCACATCGGAAATCTGCAAAGCATCTTGATGTTGCACTTTCCGGAGAACATTCTGTGAAATGAACAAGAGTTCAGGACCTGTAGATTCCAAACCCTCCACAGAACCCTATACCTTTTCTTTTTAAAATCAATTAAGTCCCTTGATTCCCCTCCCCCCAACTCCCCCACTTTGGAAAGGCCAAATACACTTTTTATGCTCAAGAACTTTGACATCATCAGCAATAAAACATTGATTTTAACATCTCTTCTGTTTTAACTTCAGAACAAACAGGAGATGACCCTCCATGATGTAGAAAGTCACCTCCTCTGCATTTCATTTATGTCTAACTGTTCAACAAATCCCTGTCAGTAGCTTTCCTACTCCAGTCTCACTGAAATTAGTTAAATTATTTCAGCTTTAAAGAAAGTCATGTCATATTAGAGTTCTTCCTCATAAAACAAAAAAAAGCAACCATTCCTGTATCCTAACACATCTGCAGATAATGGTTGAGAAATAGTCTTGATGAAGTGAAGACAACCTAACTTCTCCCAACTTAATACACACCTCCCGCCTTACTCTTGTTTGCTTCAACTAATATCACTGAATAATCTCTGTATTTTGTCTGATGAGAAAGACCTCATAAAATACTTTAAAAAATAAGTTTGTGGTAAAAAGAGAAGGGAGGTCATGGGTAAGATAACCTAGTGTCACTGAATTATAAAGCCTAGTACCAATTTAAACCTCAGACAAGAAGTTCCAGGGGTTTCCTGTTCTCTGGTAGAAAAGCTCCTCATACACTTCATGAGTGAAGAATGACATTTTAGTTTTCCCAGTCTCTCCACAGAAAAGGAGTTTACTGTGAACACAAGGCACTACAAATGATGTAAATGATAAAGCTTCCAACAACAAATGTTTCAAAAGATGATGGTAGAAACTCAACGCTGTATTTTAAGCCAAGTGAACCACAGCTGGGGAACTGAATCTGACCGAACTGGGCGTGGACAACTTAATAAAAACCCCTACACGAAAAGCTACCAACACAAACTAGTTGTATAGCTGGGAGGGACCGTCACACACTGAGTAGTTTCCCTCCCTACACTGTGCATAAAACTATTTGGATCTTTCTGGACAGACAGGAAAGGAAGGCGGGAAATTTCTCTCCCAATTAGTCACAGACCAAGGCCTTCTGAAAACAGCTTCTGATCAGCATCACCTACACCATTTCAGAGTTCCTTGTGTTCATGAACTTGTCATACTGAGATACTGGTTTCCATCCCTGGAGCTATAAAAAGTGAAAAGGAACCATCATACCTGAAGAGTTGCACAAAGTAAAGACTGAAGGTCATTGAACTGGATCCTATCAGATGTGCTCTGGATATGTGACTACAAGGAAAAGAAGAAAACACCATGTTCTAAAGAAAAAACTTGCACTTGTGCTGGGGCTGCCAGGACCATTAAATAATCTTTACAGGCTGGCCATTTAGCTCAGTTGGTTACAGCACAGCCTTGTAACACCAAGGTCACAGGTTCGGATCCCTATATCAGCTAGCTGCCCAAGATAAATAAATAAATAAATAAACAAACAAATAATCTTTACTAATGTTAATATAGGAAAGTAAATAAAAAACACACATAATGTATATAGCATAACACATGTACGAGTAAATTGTGACAAGCAATGCAAGTGTTAAGTTGCAATGTTTTCTGTATAGGCCTTCTATCTTTGAGAAAACATATTCTTAAACACCAAAAAGAGAGAACAGTCAGTCTTGTAGTGGATTGAATTGTGTCCCCCTAAAGCTCCCTGAAGCTTGAATTGTGTCCCCCAAGTTTTATGTGTTAGAAACTTAGCCCCCACTGTGACTGTTAAGAGGGTGGGAAATCCTATTATGGTAATTGAAAGGTGGAGCCTTAAAGAGGTGATTGGATTGTAGGACCGTGCAGTAGTGAATGGATTAAAAATGATGGTCAGGGCCAGCCCTGTGGCTCACTCGGGAGAGTGTAGCACTGCGCTCCAACCACGGGTTCGGATCCTATATAGGGATGGCCGGTGCACTCACTGGCTGAGCGCGGTGTGGGTGACACCACACCAAGGGTTGCAATCCCCTTACCGGTCACAAAAAAGGGGAAAAAAAAAAAATGATGGTCAGGGGCATGGTTCTGAGGGCTTTAAAAGAGGAGAGTCTGTCTCTCTCTCTCTGCTTCCACCATCTTGCAATGTGAGACCCCTGGCCACCACCATCACGTGGACTTTGGACTTCCTAGCCTCAGAAACTGTAAGCAATAAATATGTTTTTCTTTATAAATCACCCAGTTTCAGGTATTCTGTTATAGCAACACAAAATGGACTAATACAACTCTTGAACATAGTTCTATGTCAGAAGTACTACCCCACTGACACCAACAGCCAGGGGCATTCTTTTTTTTTTTTTGTCTTTTTCCGTGTCCGGCAATGGATCGCAACCCTCAGTGTCGCCCCCGCACCGGACCGGGACCGGCAACGGGATCGCAACCCTCGGTGTTGCTCCCGCGCCCCGCTCAGCCAGTGAGTGGGAACCGGTCCGTATGTGGGATCCAAACCCTCGGGCGGGAGCGCCGCCGCGCTTCCCAAGCGGCGCACTATCCAGTGCGCCACCGGGCCGGTCCCCAGCCAGGGCATTCTAAGTCTCACCTCCATCTGAAGCACCTGTTGAAGTCGTTCCATGATGACCAAAGTAGTTTTCTGAACTGCAGGGTAACAATCCTTGGCACTGTTTTTCACAATTTCCATTAGAGACTCATATGCAGAACTCCTCAGGTTGTTCTGGTGTCCATCAGGTCTGAAAGAACACACAGTAAAATCTTAAAAGCCTCAACTGAGGAGAAAGGACAGATAAGTTGTTATAATGTAGCCACTGTCTCACCAAAAATAAGAGGCCAGAAACTGATATGGTTGCAGACCTGGTCTGACAGCACTATATCCAGGAACCGTATTTTCAAAAGCCCTTTGAGGCAATGGCTAATTCCATTAGTCTTCATACTTGGTTAACATTTAGATTGGCCCTTGGTTAACATTTAGAATGGCCCTACAATTTTAGGGGGGAAAATTGGTTTGAAATGGTAAAGAACCCATGTGAACAACTCAAGGGTTGCCTGAATAGCTATGAACATACCCCAATTTTCTTAAGTCATCTGCAAGAGATATCTTTATATACAATCTCAAACAAAGGAGTGGAGAAGACCTAGTTAAGCATGGAAGATATTATGCCCAACCCCCTAACAGTCTACTCTGCTCATGGCTTTAGGTACAGCTCACACAAAACACAGACAATTAAAGGTTGTCCCCAACTTATAATTCTTTAAACTACACCTCAAAAGCTTGCTCATAAACCAACTGTATTTAATGCCAAGTTCTTCATCCAGTATCATAAATGGCAGCTAATGATTTGATGTGGTAGTTAAATTCATAATGAGCGTCACCATTTCTCTTATGCCGTAATCAAATCTCCTGTTAACTGTCAACATTGCAAAAGGAAGGAACCTCTCTAGATCAATTACTCTGTAAAAGGAAGTAGAGAATTGAGACTATTTTCCACCTTTAATTGTAAACTGAACAATTCTACGGTAGGCACAGTCTATATTTCTTTGTTTCTTCCTCTCTTCTATTTAAACAAATAATCATCTACTACAAAACTCTTAATTCCTCCAGATTGCACAGGCAAAGTCTTATCCTGTCTCACTGTGTTTCTATGATTAGACTAGATATCCTCCATACAGAAGGCAACTGCTTGGATGCAAAGACATCCCCCATTTCTGTGGAATGTCAGCTACCTGTCTGTAGTCTCCAAAAGTTTCTGAACAATGAGTTCGAATGAAGAAGATAGGCAATAGGTAGCTGGTTCTTCCTGATCATCAGCTACGTCCGCAGCTTCGTAAGCAGCTTCAGCCAGACTGGAGAAAGCCTGAAACACACACATTTAATATTAGTACTGAAAAGAATTCCAACCCAGGATTATGTCATTTTTCCTTCAAATACCTTGGGCAATATTTCCTCTCCAATTGACCTAAGAATAAGTCAATGCTAAGTGAACCTCCAACTTTTTCTGTCAAGGTCATCGCAAGACAACTTAACATTTTACAGGTCTTTAAAATTAAATATGTATTTATTTATATTTTCTGTCTTGTCTGATAATCTGCCCACAACTCTCTAAGGAGCAGAGTACTTTCATGTACTACGAATGCTTGCCATTTCACTACTTCTCCTCCCATTCACAGAAAGACTATTTTAGCCCCACTTCTTCCTTATTTGAATTTCCTCCCTCACATGCCCCAAAGGTCCCTAATAAACATAGCCTGTACTGACTCGGATCTTAGACTGCTTAACTTCCTTTCCTCTTGTCCCATTCTCAGCAATGGTACTTCCTATAACCAACAACTCTCTTATTCACAACTTCTTGTCCCCAAGCAACCCCAGAAAGAAAACTAGGTCCAGATAGTTCCTCTGCTGGTTACCATGACTGTTCTAACTGGTCTGGGAATCATTACCATGAGTCAACAGCTCCCACTGGCTCCTGCAGTTGGCATCTCCCCCACATTTTTATCGAAGAAATTAGAAAGGAGATACTATTCAGAAAAACCTTCCAGTGAGGCAGATCCATTTCTCTCCCACACCTCCTACTCTCCTGCCAATGGCTCAGGCAAGCTCCTTTTCTCACCAGGAAGAAAATCCCTTACCCAGCACACATTTGAAGCCACTCTGGGTTCAGCACTGAGGCCCTCAATCAGACACTGCAGCAAGGGAGCCAAGTAGACGTCATTGATGGCAGCTTCAGGGAGCAGTTCACAAATTCTGCCCACAGTCCATGCAGTTGTATCTCGAACAACTACACTGGGGTCCTTCATCAGTTCTATTAGGGTGGGCATAGCCTGAAAATACAACAGTTATTAGCAAAGCAAAACAAAGATTAAAACCCACACTGACTGCTACCTCGGAAGAGGAAATAATGACAGATAGGTTTTAACTCAAAACATCACAAGATGCTTTTGTAATTATAAAAGACATGCTTGTGAAATATTTATCAAAACAATAAAAGTAAGTAAACTTAAATGTGAAAAAGTCCTACTGTCTTCACCGAATCCCAATATAGAGTTCTATAAAGAGTTTGGTGTGGGGCCGGCCCGGTGGCGCACTGGAGAAGTGCGCCGGTTGGGAGCACGATGGCCCTCCCGCCGAGGGTTCGGATCCCACGTGGAGACCGGTTCCCGCTCCCGAGGGTTGCGATCCCGTTACCGGTCAGTAAAAAAGACAAAAAGGAAAAGAAAAAAAAAAAAAAAGAGTTTGGTGTGAATGCTTTTAGCAATTTGTGCTGAATAAGTCAGGTAGAGATCCCAGGTTGCAGTTATGATGGCATCTGGCTATGTCCTGAAAGAGTTTTATATGCAGTAAACTCAATTACAGTGGACTCTTGTATTATAATAGCAAATAAACACATTTCCATAGGATTTTCGTTATATAAATGTAACTGTATCCAAAGGATGAAATAATCCCAACATTAAAAATTATTGGGCAGGGGCCGGCCTGGTGGCGCACTGCTACAGTGTGCCGCTTGGAAAGCGCGGTGGCGCTCCCGCCGAGGGTTCGGATCCCACATGCAGACCGGCCGCTCACTGGCTGAGCGAGGTGCGGGCGCAACACCGAGGGTTGCGATCCCGTTGCTGGTCCCGGTACGGTGCGGGCGCGACACTGAGGGTTGTGATCCGTTACCGGTCATGAAAAAAGAGAAAAAGGAAAAAAAAAAAATTATTGGGTAATGTTTATGATATAGCATTACATGGATAAACAAATTATAAGACAATTTCACGGTGAGAACTCCATCCTGTTGCACACACTTGCACATAGAAAAAAGCTGCAAGGATAAATACCAAGTTAAGGGTGTTATCCCTGGGCAAAGGGATTAAAGGTGACTTTTTCTTTTTGGCCTTTTCTGGATTTTTTATGTTTCTGGGTCATAAAACTTATGTGTAATTAAAAAAAAAGTTAAACATATTTTACCCTCATTGACAGCAAATTATCTAAAAATAAGTTTGTGGATGGCTATTTACAGTTTTGTTTTTAAAAATAAAGTCATACTTTCAATAAATATCCCACTTTCCACTCCAAAACTCCCTCAGCTTTACCTGTATAACCAGTGGTTTGAGCTGATTGGGCTCTGGTCCTTCCAAGATACAGCCAAAAGCCATTACGGCGGCATCCCGGTACCGCCAATCTGGGTTCTTGATGTGTTCTTTAATGAAGGGGAGGACATGTGGGACAATGTCATCTTCACAGCAGGTGGCCAGAAGCATGAGGCACACCCCTGCTGCTTTGCAAGGGTTCCAGTCATCATCATCATCATTTTCATCCTGGTGAAGGAACACGGCACTAGTTTGTTCAAAGAATCAATTTAACTCATACGGGGTCCTCTGACTACTCTCAAATGCTTTAGGACTTAAGCTTCAGGGAAGTAAACAAAATATAAAACCTTTACATTTTATCTCTTCCACAAAAGATTCATTTCACCATAGTCTTTGTTAAACAAGATGCGGACGGAGAAGATTCTACCTGGTAACAATGAGAATGAACAAACTCCAACTACATGCCACAAGGATGAATCTCAAACATGTTGAGGTAATGGAACAACAAGAGTCTGTTACATGATTCTAGTTATATACACTTCAAAAATCAATTGAAGTTAATCAATGGATTTAAAGGTCAGGAAAGTAAGGTAGTTGATGATTGGGAAGAAGACATGAAAGGGGCTTTTGGGGTGCTAGTAATTGTCATATTTCAATAAAAAGTGCACAAAAGAAAAGATTCCATTGAGATCACAACAAGAGTCTGTTACATGATTCTAGTTATATACACTTCAAAAATCAACTGAAGTTAATCAATGGATTTAAAGGTCAGGAAAGTAAGGTAGTTGATGATTGGGAAGAAGACATGAAAGGGGCTTTGGGGGTGCTAGTAATTGTCATATTTCAATAAAAAGTGCACAAAAGAAAAGATTCCATTGAGATCTCCCCTTAAATTGGAATCCAAGGTATGTCTTCCTTATTGCGGCCATTCACAACCACAGTAATTTAAGGCAGGTTGCCCACAGTTTCAGAAAATTATATACATAAAGAACAATTCATTCCCAAATGAGAAAAGCACAACAAAAATACACAAAAGCAAGACACTAAGTCTAAAGACAAAAGTTAGCAACTGTAAAACAAAGACATGATGAAAATTTATGGGTACACTTAGTCCATTTCAAACCAAACATAACTCTTTTGAGACTGCTATATTGAAAGTCATGTACATCCCTAAAAACAATTATATTCCTGTGTACAAAGAAATTTTGCACTGCTGAAAGCTACCAGCAGTTTCCTCAGAGCACTGCCAGCTCTTTGGTAATATTTCACATGCACCAGACAAGATGAGGTGACAGAAAGAAACTTCCCAAACATCATACCAAGAAAAACTGTGATTAAAGTCAAAAGAGAACAATGGCAACCAAAACACTTTTCTTATAGAACTTCTCTATTTACTCATCAGACCCACATCTTCATGAAGTCTTGTCACTTTATTCTGTCCTGAATCATAATAATTAATGTTAATAATCTTGAAAGATCAGAAGTTTCTTTCATGCGTTGAAGTACTTTAGGATCTGAATAACCCATATGCAACCTCATCAGCATTTTACAAAGATGTATATCGTGTGAACCCACAAAAATATCCCAGATATCACAATACACATTTGAATGGCCTAAAACTAGCAATCTCCCCTCTCGAACTTCCTTTACTGCAACTTCTATCTCTTCTGTTGGTTTAAACAATGCAGCACTCAGGAAATCACAGCATGTGGCTTGTTCTGATCAAGACCCATCTGAGATGTTCAGACTCAATTCTCTTTCACAAATAATTCAGAGCCTAGGGTATCTTACAGATCCAGCTCAGCTGTTCCTGAGTCATCTACAACAGAACATCAAACAGTTGATGGGCTGCCAAATTCCTCCAAAGAAACTGTTCCACAGCAAACCAACCCACCCTTTAAGAAGGTTTCACAACTTACCTAGCTGTAACTCACCTGCTTAGTTAGTGTCTGTGTGAGGATTGGAACCAGGTACTGTAGTGCTCCCTTGGCATAAAACTTGCTGGTGTGCTCAGGGGGCCGTCCTTGTTCAGCTGCCTAAGAAGGAACATAAAGCAAATGCTAGACAAAAACAAACCAGCTGTGACACTAAAGGCATAAATGAGAGCTGCCCAGGGATCTAATTTACAGAAATATATGGGGGTAAATGGCAACATTCATAGTGATCTTTGGAGGTGCTCATTATTGGGTCCACTTCAATGAAATTCCTTTAGGCCATAGATACAACCTACCTTAAAGGACCAAAGAAACCTTAAGAATTACATTCTTTGTTTTCTTTTCTTTTCTTTTTGCTGGCCAGCACAGGGATCAAACCCCAAACTTATCTGCACTATCCTCTAACCAACTAAGCTAACTGGCCAGCTTACATTCTTTTTTCACAAGCTCGATTCATATGAACAACCTGACATCTAAGTGTTCTGTGGATCAAGGGACACCAAGTTTACATAAGGATGCCAAAAATAAGATTTATGTTTTCTGAAGTGCATAAAGGCCAACAAGGTTGGAAAGAAAGCTTGAATTCAAAGATTCTAAATACTGGGGCTGGCTGGTTAGCTCAGCTGGTTAGAGCATGGAACTGTAACATCAAGGTCAGGGGTTTGGATCCCCTTACCAGCTAGCCACCAAAAAAAAAAAAAAAGAAAGAAAGAAAAAGAAAACCCACAAAAACAGATTCTGAATACAGAATTACCCTTTTCCCATATCCCCATATCTGATTCTTTCACCAGAGTTAGTAGACTATCAACTATACAACCCGGGCTTGCAGTAGGACTTCAAAATGAAATAATTCAGCATCAGGTGTCACCTTAGTGAACTGTAACAGCCTGCTGCCCCCTTGTGTTCACAGCACTAATACCAGTACTTACAATAAATCATGCCAGACTGATAATGGGCAAAAACATGAGATGCCTCATTACAGTTCTGTCTCCACGATGGGCTTGGGCTAAAGGAAAAATCAAAATCTCTACAAATGGAGATACCCTCTAAGCTCAGTGAGAATAAAGCTTTCCCAGAATAATAATATCCACAAATGAGATATGCCCCAAGGCCCAGTCAGAAAAATAGCTCTCCCCCTACACCAACGCTCTCCCAGGCTCACCTCCGAAGCCTCAATGGCCAAATCCATTTCTTCATCACAGACATTGGACCAGAATTCTATCCCTTGTAGGGCCACCTCATCAATGTCACTTTTCATTGCTTCAATTGTGATCTTAAGAGAAAAAAAGATGACATCCCAGAATCCAAACAAGTACTGACTCAAGTGAGACCACACCCCCACCCCCAACCACAGACATTTAAATTTCAAAAATATAATTTATAAAAGCTAGGTCTGAAATGAAAGGTAGGACAAAGGAACAGATTTTCAAAATACACTCTTTTTACCAGCACAAAGATAGCACAAGTTTGTTTATTTCAGAGAACAAATGTTTTCTGGAAGGTGGCAAATCCACATGAAATGTGGTGAGAAAATGAGAAGAGTAATAAACTTTATTGCTACTTTCCTAAGCTAAATCTTCTGAAATCTAGAAGGAAAACCCTGTGTTAGAATTGTGGTTTGCTACAGCTTCGCAGACCTCCCCACTTTTAAGGCCAAGAAATGGCAAAAAGCCTAGCTAAAGTGTCAATAAACATATGCAAAATACTTTCAGACCATATAATCCAGCAATTCCACTTCTGGAATTCCACTATGGGTTCAGATTCCCATAAAGGCCAGCCACCACCCAAAATAGGAAATTTTGACACATGATACAACATAGAAACATGGATAAACCTTGAGGACATTATGCTAAGTGAAATAAGCCAGTCACAAAAAGACAAATATTGTACAATTCCATTTACATGAGCTATCTAGAGCAGTCGAACTCAGAAACAGAAAGTAATGTGGTTATTGCCAGCAGTTAGAGGAGGGAGAAATGGGGAACTTCTTGTTCAATGAACAGCAGTTCAGTGTTTCAGTTTTGCAAGATGAAAAAGTTCTGGAGATTGGTTCCACAGCAATGCGAATATAACTTAACTGTACACTTAAAAATGATCAAGATGGTAAATTTTATGTTATGTATATTTTATCACACAATCAATCAATAAATCAATAAATAATGAAAGGGGGAAATGTTTTCAGGCAAAACATTCCTAGTTTTTCAAAAGCACCTTCCTAAGCGGTATGAAACAGCTCAACTGCTATAATTTTTTTAAAATCCCAAAATATTCCCAGATTTTGGAAAAACCTAAGCTTAGAAACACTTTAGATCACATTATTTCTAAGAGCTTAATGAAAAATGGCAAACGCCTTATCTCATACAACATAAATCTCAACCAGAAAGAAAATGAATACTTCTAAACAAGGTGGTACTTTCTAAAACATAAACTTTTAAAAAAAGACAAAAAACAAAAACAAACTTTTAATTAACTCTTTCATTCCTCACCTTCTGATCCTATACCTTTTTGTCAAAAGAAACTTACCTCTTTATCAAAGTTTGCTTTGGTGAACTCTAATGAGTTCAGGAGTGCATTAGTAGCAGCTAGCTTCACATTATTACTAGGCTCTTCTTTCCTCATCCCCTGGATTATGGCAGTCAGAATCTCATTGGATTTATCCTGTAGCTGCTCTGGGTCCTGAAACAAGCAGAGAAATGCAATGAATATAACAACCAGCTCATGACTAATCAGCAGTCCTTTTAACTGTAAAATCCACTCAAGCAAGTATCATGACTTTTTACACACATTTCCATTTAGCGACTACACTGCAAACCACCTGCAAAATATCCCAAGGTATTGGTAGTCCAAAACTGAACTGAAACCAAGTTAAACTCATCAACTTTATCTCTGACTTCTTAGCATAATGACTTTGGGCATGAAGTAATATTGGCTTTTCCTCCCTTCTGTGCAAATGGAGATGTCAGTCTGGTGGCTTTTTCCAGGTCATTTGTATCAAATGAAGTAAAGCTTCAGAATATTTGAGGGCCAAGGATCACCACCTGAGTATAACATCTAGCAAGTCTAACTCCAGGTCAAATACTGTGGGTTTCTCTGCTTCCTAAAGTCTATATATCAAAACAGACACCAAGAAAAGAAAAAAACAGACACCAAGAGTGGTAACCTTATCAACAACATTCGTCCTAGGAGGTCTGCATCCAAAATGCTGTCTTGTGGCTCCAACTACAAGTGGCTGACCGGTTAACTCAGTTGGTTAGAGCATGGTGTTGGTAACACCAAGGCCCAGGGTTCAGCCAGCCACCAAAAACAAAAACCAAAATAAATACCAAAAAAAAGTAATGAACCAACTACAGCAAAAATGGGCAAAGCTTTCTGTAATGTAGTAAATGAAAAAGCACCACAGCATTCATGGTACATTGAGGATCTTAAGAAAAGGGATCAGGTCAGGGATGCTCCAAAATGAGAATACCCTCATTTTAAAAGTCTGCAAACTAAGCTTCTCCAAACATATAGATTTCCATTTTGAGTTTGTGACCTTGTTTCTTTACTTTAGAGCATGATTAACAAAGTGCAGATAAATTAACTAAGTATGGAGTTCTAAATTAAATAAAGCAGTCCTTTCAAGACACTCTGTAGTAGCTTGATTTTCTTCATGATTTGATGAGTAATACTAAAACCACGCAAGTCACAGCTAGAGGGAATTAGAGGAATATAAATTAGACAACTACATTAGATAAGTACTTACTATATCTTGGCAAATGTAACCAATAGCTTCCAATGTTGATTCTTTCATATGTTCTGTGCTGTTGGGGTTTGTGACATTGGCCACCAGCTGAGGAATGAGTTCTGGCCACTGGTTTACTGGGATCTCTGCACAAGCAATACCAGCCACACACTGCGAGGCAGAACTAGGCCGGTAAGTTTCTGTGCCCAAAGTCTGCAAAACCTGCCAAAAGAAAAAAGATATCAATTTCTAATACTATTTGACTACATTTTGCCTACCACATCTCTTATATTGGTGTCTCTGAATTCTTTTCTATTACAAAGAAAAGGCTGTCAGAAAAAAAAAAAAAAAAAAAAAAAAAAAAAAACAGCCTCAGTACTAACACCAGCACAATCAACACTGCCCCCAGAACCTAGAAACAAAACCAAGCATCACTTTGCTTCCAAAACCATACACCCCACTTCAACATTCAACATAAGGTAGGAAAGTAGCAGTTAGAAGGGAAGGTAGCATTAAAAGGCAAGAGGAAATTCATTTTCCAAGCTCCTTGCTGGTGGTAAAAGGAAAAGATGCTCACAGCCTTGTTTTGTGGACAGAGTGTGGGACATTAGGATGAAGCTAACTCTGGGGCATTCAGGTGAGACTGATTCACAGTAGATCACTGTCTAACCTGATTAAAGGAAGAGATCTTCTCACTCATGAAATGTGAAACAAACCTTCCTCTTTCTGGCCACTGACAACCCAGCACTCTCACTAACATAGAAAGGCCTTGGTCAAGTAATAACATGACTAAATGCAGAAACAAAGTTACTGATGTTACCAACACCTAAGAATTAATCCTTACTTAACCTCCAATCTGAAAGGATTGGTTGTTTGCCCAAAAATCAAAGAACTGCTCTCTCTACCATCAACAGGTACCAAGAACTACTTAAATATGCCAATTAAAACAAGATCCACTTGTCATTTAACACATCTCATTTGAAATGGTAACCACACAAGCATTTATTTATGTAAAGGGTAAAGGCACAGGTTCAGATAAAGGATGAAGCCACAATTGACCAAGAGTTAATCATTACCATGATCAGCTAATTCAGTCAATGAACTCAGTAAGAATCACCAGTCCACTCAAAAGCAAACAGTTAACTGTTCCTGGCATGAACACAGGACAAAGAATAGCTGCCAGATATACGGGCCAGCTCTGCTGACTGGATCAGGTCACTTCATATCCTGCTTTGTAGCTAGTAGCTAATAATGAACTCCTCATCTTTCCCCCTTATACAATGTACCATCATCCCTGCCCGTGCCCCCACTCCTAACAGCTCTAGGACTAGAAAAACTAGAATGGACTTTACCAAAAACTGTATGGCAAAGACATGAGGTAGCGAGAGGGGAAAATAAGGCGAATTGTCCAGAAAATCAGGGGCTGAATGGGTACTAATCCAAGTCTGATTAAAGTTCCAGTATAGGGTGTCTTTATCCTATACTACACCGTCTCCCAGTATACATATGGAACATACTGAATCCAATTCTATCTTTACCTTTTTTCTCCTTTAAGTTGCTTTTAGAAGACCCTTCATTAATATTACTTGAGGTGATTCAGAGGCTACAAATGTCCCACTCCTGGGAGTACCGGAAGTTTTTTTTAAACTAGGGGTGAGCCTAATAATAACACTCAATTATCAGAAATAAGAAGAATAAGAAACTACCTCAATTTTGCCCCAGTATCCAGATTTCAAAAAAGAAATGACCACCAGCACTGACAGTATTATCAGATGTACTATGAAAGGCAAAGAGGCCAAGATAACTGCTTTTTTTTCATGCACAAAGGCTCAACCATACCTACACAAATTCTTATGCATATTTTTTAAAAATTTGGTGTTAAGAGTGATCTGCCAAAAAATAAGTCAATTACTGTTTCAATCACATCTTACCTCATTTACTATTGTTAATTTAATTTCAGGAAAACAAGAAACTGAACAGGCACTATAAGCATCAAGATTTCCAGTGATGGGATACACTTAGGTAAAAGCTGAGGAGAGTATTAAAATGTTACTACACAAGCAGACCCAATGTGGATAGAAACAGCTTTACATATTTCAAAGAAGATTCAAAATAAGTCAGCTTCCATAACCTAGTTCCCTCTCATGGGTACCTCCATGCAAGACTGAAGATGGAAGGAAGTACACAACTAAAAAGAGAAGTTGTTGCTTTAAGGGACACTGATTTACCTAATGCTGATATTTAGAACCAGGAAATAGTGAATATGCTGTGCATTAACTATGACCTGCCCAAGTACACAAGTAGGAATCCCCCACTGGTTTCTCCTCAGACACCAAAGTGATGACTGCACCGATCTGTTTAACTTACTCCCCTTTGTGCCCTATCCATGTAAGGCAGACCACTAAAGAACTTCATTAACTTAAAAAAAAAATCTGCCCATATATTCTGAATCTGTTGCTTCAGCTAGAATTATGGGTTTCTAATTCAACAAGAACGTCACAAGAATTCCATGATGCAGGGCCGGCCCGGTGGCACACTGGAGAGTGCACCGCTTGGGAGCGCGGCGGCACATACAGACCAGTTCCCGCTCACTGGCTGAGCGCGGTGCGGGCGCAACACTGAGGGTTGTGATCCCGTTGCCGGTCAGTAAAAAAGACAAAAAGGAAAAAAAAAAAAAAGAATTCCATGATGCAGGGCCGGCCCGGTGGCACACTGGAGAGCGCACCGCTTGGGAGCGCGGCGGCACATACAGACCAGTTCCCGCTCACTGGCTGAGCGCGGTGCGGGCGCAACGCTGAGGGTTGTGATCCCGTTGCCAGTCAGTAAAAAAGACAAAAAGGAAAAAAAAAAAAAAAGAATTCCATGATGCAAAGCAGCAAAGGATATTCAATTTTCCTCAAAATTTATCATCCCATTCTTTAAATGCCTTGGAAAAAAAGCCAGGTGTTTCTGAAGGAAGTTTTTCATAACTTTCTAAGGAGATAAAAGCACCATTAACGTCATACTCCTATTTTTCATACTCCTATGAAAGGCCCAAGATATTTTAATTCTCCTTCTGACTCTACAGTGCCATGCCTAAACCATCAAAGAATGAGAATTATCTACAGCAGAAGTTCAACAAGACCTAGGAGCTGGTTGACTGTGGAAGAATCACTTGGGGAGACAGTTTAAAAAATATCCCCAATCTTCACTACAGATCTACCAAACCAGAATCTCTGCAGAGTTTGGAAATACACATTATCAACAAATTCCTTAAGTGATTCTGATTTACAGCACCAATTTGTACACCTCTCCAATTCAACAAAGAGATTTTAAAATTCTGGCATCTAATTAAAGTTTCCCAAACTGCTGCAGCCTACTTCTGGCATCTGAAAAGAATTACAATCCATCGATGGGAATGAATATGCTAAATTGAGAAAGAAGATTTAAATCAAATACAATTTTTATCTTCAAGTAAAATTTAGGTCCCAGAAACCTATCATATTGTCAGCTCTATCCCATGCAAATGACAAAAGAACTGATGATAATGTTTCTTGTTCCCTAGGCAATATGACCAAAAGGAGACAAAAGTTACTTACATAATTCTTGACTTCCCGTCGAGCATTAGCATCAATAGCAAGCCACCTCTGCTGATATTGTGCCTTGATATCTGGATCTTTAGATGTCAAAGAGTTCTTGATTTGTAGACCAGCTGCAACTCTGGCAACCTGACTGTTTCCTGGATTTGCCAGCACTCTGGACAGTTCCACAAGGAAAGTGGGCTGTTAAGACATTATTTGGGAATTTCAACAATTGAGGATAGCTTAGTGAGTACAAACCACTGGGGGAAAATAACACTTAATTTTTTAGGAAGTATAACAAATGTCTCAGGAAAAAATATCCACTTTAAGACTCCTATAAACAACATTACTTAGTATGTGAGGTAGTCACCCATCTTCTCATGCAGCCTAGCTCTTACTGAGGAATTACAGATTTTCCTATCAAGATCATTCTTAGCACTCAAATCTTCACATTAGATCCCTGGAATTAAAGCAATTGGGACACTTCATTGTCCCAAGCACCTAGAACAATGTCTGGTAACCAATAAATATTTGTTGAATGAATGAATGAGTGTTATGACAAGGTAAAAAGTAAAAGGCGTTTCTCTAAATTTAAAAAACCTTAGTAAAAAAAGAATGATATTCTGGGTGGCTTTTGATCTCATGGAAGCAAGTAATCTTTTATAAGAGAGGAAACACCTCCAGATAAGCCTAAAACAGACTTAAGGGCCTAGTCCTCTTTATTTTAGTTGTTGGTGTTCAGAAAAAGAGAAAGTGAAAAAAGCAGACTTATAAGGAAAAATGATGACAAATATTTAGAAATAGAAAAAAATTGAAAAGACAAAAATATCAACGCAAGTAGTTCTAAGAAAAATTATTTTATATTTAATAGTCAACAGTACATTTTGGATCAAACAGAGGATCCCTGAATTGCATGCTCAATCTTTTGCAGCACACAGGTTCCAAAAGCTACTCCCTTTGTTTAAAAATTTTAACATATACACCCCACTCCTCTCCCCCTACCAAAAATAGCCCTGTCCAAACAGCAAAGTTAGCAAGAAAAGCCAAAAGCAGGTATTTTCTTACTACTCACAAGTTCTGCAATCACAGCAGAAGATAATCCTTAAAAAGTTTTATTAATTAGGGCCGGCCCGTGGCTCACTCGGGAGAGTGCGGTGCTGATAACACCAAGGCCCCAGTTCTTAAAAAGTTTTATTAATTAGGGCCGGCCCGTGGCTCACTCGGGAGAGTGCGGTGCTGATAACACCAAGGCCCCGGGTTCGGATCCCATATAGGGATGGCCGGTTCGCTCACTTGCTGGGCGTGGTGCTGACAACACCAAGCCAAGGGTTAAGATCCCCTTACCGGTCATCTTTAAAAAAAAAAAAGTTTTATTAATTATGTACCACTAAAGAATGGAAGGAATGTTAGGAATAAGATAAAAGGCTTCTAGCAAATTAGCAAAAGCAGGAACTGGAATATACCCTAAATGTAAGTATCAGTCCATACTAGTGAAAAAAATCTCTTCCAGGGAAAGTTAAGAACAAAAAAGGTTAGTAGTAAAACCTATCTCATATAAGAACAACAACAACAAAAAAAAATCATTCAAAGGCAGTATGTATAAAATACACTTTGTCACTTTGGTGTTGACATTATTCTGCCTAGATAACACAAAGGAACCCATTAGGTCCCAGTGTTATTTAGACTTATTACCTATTACCTTTAAAGAAGACAAGTATCATCCACCCTTCCCTCTGCTCCCCATCCCCCCGAAAGGAGAGAGACACCAAAAAGAGACGTAACTGCCACCCAGGCTGTTTTAACCAATTCATCCCACAATTTTATACATGGATCCAGTCTCTAGTGGACTTGTCTTCTTTTTCTCTGTACCCATTCAATTTGGAAATATGAAAACCTTTCCTCTATGCTTTTACCAGGAAATAGGCCCGATCTCAAGGATAAGCCTCAATCTGTTGTCTGGGTGCAGATCCCTAGTGATAAGGTCTCTAATCATCGAGGTAAAAAATAAAAAAATACCCCCAAAACAGGTATAATCGGACAGGAGGGAAAAATATCAGTGGGAATGGGCTCAGAGGCAGTCGGGTGCCAGGCCTGGCCATGAGCGCAGATCAAGGGAGATAAGAAAGCGTAGAGTGGAAGTAGGTGGAGAGAGCCATTGGGGCAACGGGACAGGAAGGAGAGGCCGGCCCCGGTCAGAACAGGGCGGGCAGCCGGGCTCGGAGCGTCCACATGGCCCCTAGGCCCGGCTCCCCCACCCCCACCCTTGCTGAACACGCAGCGCCGCACAACCTAACTTCCTTTCCCTCCCTCTTTCTCCCTCCCGCTGCACCGCCGCCCTCAGGCAGCGCGGCGATTGGGCGGCAGCCACCCCGGCGCGCCGCGCCATTGGCCAGCCACGGGGCCCGGGGCGGGACACACCCACCGGCTTCCCGATGGCGGGGTTA